TTGACATTTCACATTTTCACTTAGGGGTGTTCTCACTTTTGTTGCCAGGGGTTCAGCTATTATTGGCTATATTTGTAGTTATTTTAAGAGGACAATAAATTTACACTGCTATACACACTTTACACTGACTACTATTCATTGTGTCAAAGAGTCATTTTTGCAGTGTTGTCCTAAGAAAAGTTATAAATAAATATTTGCAGAAGTAGGAGGGGTGTACTCACTTTTGTGTGTGCGTGTGTGTGTGTGTGTGTGTGTGTGTGTGTGTGTGTGTGTGTGTGTGTGTATATATATATATATATATATATATTAGAGCAGCACGATTCTGGCTAAAATGAGAATCATGATTTTTTTGCTTAAAATAAAGATCACAATTTTCTCACGATTCTGTAGATGTAAAATAAAGGTATGGTAAAAACAAACATATGGCACAACATCGATAATAACATTATGTGTAGGTCTACTGGTTTCTATAAATAATTATATTCTACTTATAATAATTCTGATGTTGAATTATTATGTTTTATATATATGCTTGCAATCTGTCATATTACACAAATTTATTCACTGGTAAAATCAGACATTTGCCATTATCAGATTATATTCAACAATATATAGGGAGGAGCTTTACTGACACTGTAAACATTTATTTTCATGCACAACTGTGGGTTTGCTATAAAAAAAAAACATATCAAATGCTTGTCATAATCTTAACTCTAAAATGGGATATCATCATTTAAATGAAGTGCACACTTTCGGTTTCATTTTGACTGCTAAGTGCTTGTTCATACTTCGCGCGTGGCTCCCAAACGATCACTCTGTGCCACAAAACAAAATATTATTTACAACTGTATTAACTGTTTCTGGCAACATATGCAGGTTCTGTTCACTAAAGTAGACGCGTGCGCACCCTCTCTGTGGTAACCGCTCACGGTCATCAGCTCACGTCACGTGTGATTTCCCGGCCGCGAAAACATCATTATATGAAGACAATAATGACATTTTTAGGTGAATGATACTTTATAAATACAGTATGTGACTCATTCAACATCATTTGAAGGTGTCAATGTCACTGAGCAACGTGTGTGAAACAATGAAAAGACTCGTGCAGCCGCCTTTTCTTCTCTCCTGAACTTGAAAATGTGTTTGGCAGAATCGTAGAAATGCTGGATTAAGATCGTCTAGGAGGTCGAATCGAGATTGCGATCTTTTAACAATTAATTGTGCAGCTCTAATATATATATATATATATATATATATATATATATATATATATATATATATATATATATATATATATATATATATATATATATATATATAATGTATATAACATCATGTGTTTTGTTTACAGAGTTTGAGGTTTACTGTATCATTATTATTGACATGTTACAGATGTTGACCAGTGCACACACTTTGTAACCTTTTATGTAGCAAGTTTAAGAGTCTCTTTAACACTTATGATTATTTTATTATAAAGAGATGAGATAATTTACACACAGAACTGCCAACTGGCCCAGAAATGTCAACTCGCTGTATTTTCCTCTTCGCAAAGAAACTTTACAGAGATGGAGGTACTTCTCTCGTTTTGCTAGCTTGCGGTAAAATTCTCGCTTAAGTGACCGAGATGCTATCATTTTTTAAAATAAAAGATCGTTCAGACTTGGAAAATAAATAAAACGGAAATAAATAATGATTTATTGTGCTGCCCGGTACCAATTGATACACCGACCAGTACCAGTCTGCAGACCACTGGTTTACAAGTATAGTGTTGTTGGTGTGTATAATGGTTAATAGTTAATGGTTGTACTAACTCTGAATGATTCATCAAAAAATATTTATTGACTCATAATTAGTTTCAAACTCATATGATTTTTTCCCCAATCAAACATTGCAAGAAAAACCTTGAAAAACATTTTGTGGAGATATTTAGGCTTTTACTAGAACAAAGAATCAGAACAAACGCAATAGAGCCTGTGTGCTGTATTTACTATATGAAGTAATATGACATGAGGTTATGAAGTCTGATATTCTCTCTCATCCTGCTAAAAGCTGTTCAAACCATTTGAATCTCAAATATGGTAACAAATCGCCTTTGTGAACTGGATCAACAAGTTCTTTCACAAGATCTGAGCACTTCTTCTGTCATGAAGAAGTTTCAAGGATAAGTGTTCATGAAAAAAGCTGGAAAGGATTTTTGTATAAAAAGCATCTTATTAGATTATTATGCCAGGGACAATGCGGTAATTTTCACTTCTAGCTAATTTGTTCCTCGTTTTATTCTGGTTTCATCACATGTTCTCTGATCGGATGATCAGGAAAGAGTTTCACCTGAAAGTATCCGAAGCAGAAACATTTTTATTACAGATACGAATAAAACATATACAAATTACAGAACTTTCATGTGTGTCATCCTTTTGATATGACAATATTTTTTTTGCTGAATTCCATGGAGGTGTAGCTTATTGTGATTACTATGATTTACTTCCTCTTTGGAGATTTAATCCCATTGTTCTTTTGGCGTGAACCCTGACTTTGATTCATTGCTCCTAGTTCCTCTTTGATTTATAATAGGTCTTTATGTCATAGTCTAAGGAATGCTCGTCATGTGACGCATTTCAAAACAACCTCGGTGGCTAACGCTGTGCTTGCTTGAGGTTAGAATATGTGGTTATGAAATACCAAGTGTACATCTTTTCATTAATGAAAACGAGGCCAAGGGTGTTCCAGTGGAAGAGATTTGATCTTTCATAAAATACATATTCTTAATGCATAATGGATGAATAGCCATCAATTGTGTTTACGATTTGAGATTTTGTTTATATTAGCATTTCTATGCCTTGTAGAAAGAGTTCAAATATGTGCCAATCCAAGGAGGAGGGCTTTCCCTTCAGAGTCTTGGTTTCTTCTTCCGGTGTATTTTGAAATCTTAGGGAGATTTCCTTTTAACTTTCAAATTTATGAAGGGATTTGTAAGGTAAATGTTTCAGAAACATACTGCTTTTGAGGACTTTCATAATGAAGTATGCATAATCATTTGTAAATGTATCACTGCTAGTAATCGTAAGTAAAAGTGATCCCAGACTGAACCCAAGCAAGCCAGTGGTGACAGTTATGAGGAACAAAACTTTACAAATTGACGAAAGTGAAGGGAAAAAAAAAACCTTGAGAGAAATCAACAGGGTTACTACGAACTATACAACATTGTGCCATTAGAGTCTGCAGCATAACACACAAGCGTCATATTCCTAATAGTTTAGGATTACAATTGAACCACTGAAGTCACAGCTAATGATTTTGGTTCTTTTTCTGTACATCTTGAGGCCACTGATATAGAAGAAAGATTATGGAACTCTGTAAAATATCTTGTGTTGTGTTCTGAAAATAAATCTCAGGGGACTGAAATGACATAAAGGTGAATAATTAGTTACAGAATTTCTATTTTTGGGTAAATTAATTCTTTAAAGAGCCCCTATTTTCCATTAAAAATGTCATATTTTGGTTTTAGGGGTCTCCAGCAACTGGTCGAAAAACACTTTTATTGTCTTATAATATGCATTTCTTTTTACCTAATTATACAGCGACTCCCATATGAATTGCTCAGTGATTCATTTCTTCTCAAACCCATCCTTAACGCGAAGCTAATTTACGCTGATTGGTCCGATGATCCTGTCTGTTCCGATTGGTCAACTGCGTTCAGCACGAGACAGAGAGAAATGCCCACCACGGCTACTATATGAAGTAGCACAACGTATGTGAGAGTCTGATGCAGGAATGCAATAAAGCAATGCAGTTAAACACCAGCATAGACTCTCCTCTTAAACCTAACCTCAAGAAATAACAATGACACACATTCAGTAATAATCCACACTGTGGCAAAAGTTGAACTATTTTGAAAATTGACCGCACCACTCATGTGTATGAACAGCTGATGATGGCCAAAGCAACAAACAGCAGAGGATCACCAGCTCAAAAACGCATTTAAATTGGCAAAGAAAGAAGCACATGTCGCGTTTTTAACGTGATTTTGGACGCGATTTGTGAACGTCCCCATATAGATTTGATCTGAGAGATACAGTACAAAAACTGATCTATGATCGTTACAAGATTACAAGCAGCACTGGGTCATTACAACTTATAACACACAATTAAACTCATATTTTGCAAACTACACAAAATGAGGCAACAATTTTAATGACACTTACATGTTATGATCCAGAGGAAGAAGAAACTGGTCCATTTGAACTGTAAAAGTTACTGACAAAGTCTCTGTCAAAGTCCAATAGTCTCTGCTTCTCCTTCATTATCAAACAGCCTGTGAATCCCGCATTGCAGTATAGTTTATTGTATCAGTCATCAGAAAAAAGACAGGAAAAAACAAAAAGCCAAATCTCCATCTGTCAATGATTGTCATCTTCGCATCATGATCAGTCCTGTGATCCCCAACGCCGCCACTAGTGTGTGGAGGGAAAGGGTGTGCACATTTTACCGGAACTGGAAGTATATATTTGGTGATTTACCGTATCAATGTCAATGCAATCAAACAAAAGATCCAAATCCAGCTTGATTCGACTCTTGAGTCAAATACTTAGCTAAAGAATCAATAGTTTTAAACAAGATGCACTTGCAGCTGGATGTTTTCATTCAGTGTTACACACTGCATAGAAGCTCATTTTCAAAACTCATAATAGGGGCTCCTTAAAATGTTCTTATTCCACTACTCGAACTCGGTCCTGGAGGTCCGGTGTCCTGCATTTTTGCTCCAACTTGCCTAAACACACCTGCAAGGATGTTTCTAGAATGTCTAGTAAGAGCTTTATTAGCTAGCCCAGGTGTTTCTAATTGGAGATGGAGCAAAAATCTGCAAGACACAGGACCTCCAGGACTGAGATTAAGAATCCCTATACTATATAGTCTATATGATTAACATGTATTGAAAAGTGTGGTCTACTGTATCAAAACGTTTGATATGTCTTCTAAGGCTTGTTATTTTATGTCTGCAGGCGCTCTGACTGAATGCTACGATGAGCTGGGGAACCGCTACCAGCTGCCTGTCTACTGCCTCTCCCCTCCTGTAAACATGATTGAGGAAAAGAGCGAGTCGGAGACCATTGAGGTCCCAGAAGCTCCAGCCAGCGAGGGCCAAGAATGCCAGTTGCGCCTACGTCTCTCTACAGGCAGGGATCTGCGCCTGGCAGTCCGCACCAGCGACAGTGTCCAGCAGATGAAGCGGCGTCTGCAGACCCAGGAAGGCGTAGCGGCCACCAGCCAGCGCTGGTTCTTCTCAGGCCGACCGCTCACCGACAAGATGAAGCTGGAAGAATTGAAGATCTCAAGAGACTATGTCGTCCAGGTGATCGTCAGCCAGCCTCCCACAACCCCGCCACTGCCGCAGAACCCGACCCCAGTGGAAAATTAAGGGGATGCTAACCGACTCACCAATTGGAGATTGTGTGTGTGGGTTGCTAGATCTCTTCGATTTGAGATTGGCCGTCTAGAACATCTCTAGAGGCTTCTCTCTTCAAACACTCACTGCCTTCGAGCTCTTCTTAAGGAGTTTTTTGGTTAAAAGCCTCAGGTCTTAAACAAACTGGAGCCCTGAATTGACCAATATAGGTTGAATGAGTTTTGGCAAGGGAAACTTAATAATGCTTTGTTATTTTCAAGATTATGAAGTTGTTCTTCATATTCTGTTCTGTTTTTGTGATGAGACCATATGTCTGCAAGGCAGACCAAAAGTGCGGACCTGCCCGTGTCTGTCAGAATTCTGAAACTGAGGGACACTGGAGGAACTTTTTTTGGCTTTCAGCAACAGGAGGCTCACTTGTTGGACCATTTTCGTAATTTTCGATTTATTAGAGACTCTCTAACCAAAAATATATTAAGATTTTTAAGAAGAGGAGGCCTGTTACATGTGGCAAAAACAATGCCGGTTTTGTTCCCCTGACCTTTCCTGCCATCTTTGATACTTGTTGTTCTTCAGATAACCTTTTGATTTAAACAGCGTTCATTTAACTCTTTATTTCAAAAGAGACAAGTTTTTCCCAGTCTGAAAGGTTAGTACATCTGCTCATTTTGGAACATCTCCCTAAAGCTGAGCTTGTGGTTGTCACACTTTCCTGATAACTTTCATTTCAGAGAGATATTTTGATCGATATCCTCACATATTTGACTCTCACTCCCTGTCAAACCATCCGCCCACAAGTGTGAAATCGGTATGGAAGGAAGATTTCAGTCATTACCCGCGCGACCGTTCGTATTCTTTGTAAATCGTGGCACTTTTAAGAACTTATTCAGCTCTGCGAGGTTGCCATGGCGCTGTGCTTTGCCTCACGCATCCCAAGTATATATAAGGGTGACGTGGGGGTAATGGTGTAATGAGGGTTTCTATACGCGTGAATGGGGAAGCAATGAGCAAGTGATTTAATGGAAGGAGAAGAATATGCAATGGCTGGATATTTCTACACCAAGGTGTATGGGAAGACAAATATGGATTGGGAGGACACACAGCATTGTTGTGTCCACACCTAGGATGTTTAGGTGTCATCTCTGAATGTAGCTCAAAAAGGACATTCTCATAATACTCTATATACATGTTGTTTTTTATTTGATTTAGTTTTGGCCTTTGTGTTGAGAGGAACAGTGGAAATGATGAGCCAGATTTGAATGAGCAGCACAGCTCAATATGTAGTAGCATGTGTGCTAACCGCTAGCTCACGATTTAAGTGTTTTTAAATGGATTTAGCGTCCTGTTGAAAGAGAATTTCAAAAACTGTTGCATATTTTAATGATACAGAATGCGTTTTTAATTAAAAAATGCTGAAACATTTGTACACTTCAGTATTGATGTGTCTGATTTTGTTTACATAATGTTCATTCATTTTCATTCATTTTCTTGTCGGCTTAGTCCCTTTATTAATCCGGAGTCACCACAGCAGAATGAACCGCCAACTTATCTAGCAAGTTTTTACGCAGCGGATGCCCTTCCAGCCGCAACCAATCTCTGGGAAACATCCACACACACATTCACACACACACACTCATACACTACAGACAATTTAGCTTACCCAATTCACCTGTACCACATGTCTTTGGACTGTGGGGAAACCGGAGCACCCGGAGGAAACCCACGCGAAGGCAGGTAGAACATGCAAACTCCACACAGAAATGCCAACTGAGCCGAGGTTCGAACCAGCGACCTTTTTGCTGTGATTTGAAAAGGCATACACCTGTCTGTACAAGGTCCCAGGGTTGACAGTGCATGTCAAAGCACAAACCAAGCATGAAGACAAAGGAATTGTCTGTAGACCTCCAAGACAGGATTGTCTTGAGGCACAAGGCTGGGGAAAGTTACAGAAAAAAATCAGCTGCTCTGAAAGTTTCAATGAGCACAGTGGCCTCCATCATCTGTCAGTGGAAGATGTTTGGAACCACCAGGACTCTTCCTAGAGCTGGCCGGCCATCTAAGCTGAGTGATCAGGGGAGAAGGGCCTTGGTCAGGGAGGTAATCAATAACCGAATGGTCACTCTGTCTGAGGTCCAACGTTCTTCTGTGGATAGAGGAGAACCTTACAAAAGGACAACGACAATCCACCAATCAGGCCTGTATGGTAGAGTGGTCAGACAGAAGCCACTCCCCACTTGGAATTTGCCAAAAGGCATCTGAATGACTCTCAGACCAAAAGAAACAACATTTTTGGTCTAATGAGACTAACACTGAACTCCTTAGAGTGAATGCCAGGCGTTACGTTTGGAAAAAGCCAGGCACCACTCATCACTGGGATAATACCATCCCTATAGTGAAGCATGGTGATGGCAGCATCATGCTGTCGGGAATTTTTTTTTAGCAACAGGAACTGAAAGATTAGTTAGGATAGAGGGAAAGATGAATGCAGCAATGTACAGAGACATCCTGAATGAAAACCTGCTACAGAGTGCTCTTGACTGGGGCGACGCTTTATCTACCAGCAGGACAATGACCCAAAGCACACCGCCAAAATATCAATGGAGGGGCTTCACAACAACTCGGTGAATGTCCTTGAGTGGCCCAGCCAGAGCCCAGACCTAAATCCTATTGAACATCTCTGGCGAGATGTGAAAATGGCTGTACACCGTCGCTTCCCATCCAACCTGATAGAGCTTGAGAGGTACTGCAAAGAGGAACGGGCAAAAAAAAGACAGGTGTGCCAAGCTTGTGGCATCAAATTTAAAAAGACTTGACCTACAGCACCTACCTTGTGCATAAAATACAACAAATTTGGATTATCATATGATGATATAGATAACGTGATAACCTTAATTCGACTAATAACAACAGCAATACACTTATTTACATTTAATATTTCGATTAGACAGTTTTATATTGTCGATCATTGTTACTGAAGGTAATATCCTCAAATATCTGATCTCAAGAGGAAACACACCTATTTTATGTATTAATTTTGTTATGTATTACAATTTTTTAAAGGAAACGTGCACCCAAACCCCATTTCCAAACCTAACCCCCTCTTATTGGCGGATGAGCAAATCATACCGAAATATATTAACTACATCGTACAATATAATACAATAACAAAATCTAAACGCTAACATGGGATTACGTTAAATATCAACATCACAGTCAGCAAGTTAGCTACTAAGCGTGAGCATATATATAGATTTTTTCAATATAGCTAACGTTTTATATTCGGAGGGTACAGCATTTGTCTTTGGTTTCTGAGCAGACATGTTTCGCCACATGTGAGCATCTGTGAAAGCCTCAACTCTAAGTTAAACAAGTTAAATATGTGCTTTGTTCGATTCACTCAATCCTTTATGTTAATAGGGAAGTCGCCTCTCGCTCTGGATTTTTCTCTTTATTTTTTGGAGAGAACAGATTTTTTTTTCTTTCTATGGTTTATTACTTTAGAAACTCTGAAAGCTTTAGAGATTTTCACAGACGTGGTACTGTTAATAATTAATGAACCTGGTTTTTTAGGCCATCATTACTTCCCAGTTTAGCGGAAGTGTGGAACTGTACGCGAGAACAACAATGCTAGTCAAATGGCTCGAGAAGAGATTTTAATAGCGGATATATTTTTGGTATAGAAGATAAAAGCATCAAATGAACTTCCTCCTCATCGTCATTAGGATGACTATCGATTTGGTGGTAGGATTTGAGTGGATAATTATTAGAGTAATTGTGATGAGTTTAAGTGGTCAGATGTGCTTAAGCTCTAAAATTGTTTCAGAACAACATGTACTCCTTTATTTAGTGTCAATACATACATGTGATGGATAAACAGTAGGTGAAATACATGGTCTAGAAAACTTGTGACTGGTGCAACTGTATAAATGAATTTATTACAGTTGTTAACAGTTGAAGTCAGAATTATTAGCCCCCCCTGTTTTTTTTCCCAATTTCTGTTTAATGGAGAATTTTTCAATACATTTCTAAACATGATAGCTTTAATAACTCATTTCTAATAACTGATTTCTTTTATCTTTGGCATGATGACAGTAAATAATATTTGACTAGATGTTTTTTAAGACACTTCTATACAGCTTAAAGTGACCTTTAACTAGGTTAAATGGGTTAACTAGGCAGGTTAGGGTAATTAGGCAAGTTATTGTATAATGATGGTTTGTTCTGTAGAATATCAAAAAATAAAAAATAGCTTAAAGGGGTTAATAATTTTGTCACAGTGCACAGTGGAGGAAATAAAGATTCAACATGTCCAACATCTACGGATATCAGCTTAAAGAGGACTCTCATATAGAGAATGAAGTGCTCAGAAGTGAGTTTTGCCCATACTTCAACTTAGTGTGAAAATCTTGATGGTTCTGTGGGTGTTGTATACTCAAACTGATCTTTATTTTGTATTTCCTATTGGGTTCAGGTCAGGTGATTGGCTGGGCCACTCTACTGCTGGATTTTCTTTCTCTGAAAGCATTCGAGAGTTTCCTTGGCTGTGTTTTAGATCATTATCGGTGAAATGTCAATCCTGGTTTCATCTTCATCCTCCTGCTAATGTAGATGTTGGACTGAAGCAGCTGATATTAATTCATAATGAGGAAAGGCTGAGGGTTGGTGAATAACTACTGAGAGATTTCAGTTACTGTCTGGGCTTTCACTGCCTTTCTACACCTCCCTTTCTTTATGTGTTCAATACTTTTTTTTACTGTGCCATTTCATTTTATTACACATAAATTTGTACTTTGTAAACTAATTAGATTTGTTTTCTTTGCATATGGGTAATTCTTCATCTACGGGCACTTATGCCCTTTGATCATATATCCTACAAATATATATATATATATATATATATATATATATATATATATATATATATATATATATATATATATATATATATATATACAATTTTGTTCAAATTCCTCTTTCTTTGGCAAAATAACTATATTATATTATATTTTTTCATATTATTAAACCTCCTTTTAGGTGTCAAAGTCACTGTTTTCACCTTGTCGCACACCCAGAGTTTTAAAATTAAACAACGAAAATAACTTTTTAAAATACTATTTATCCAGTATCTATTATTGTATCCTAATTAAGCACCAGTGAAATATATATTTTATAGTTATTAAAGTGAGACTATTATCAATATATTTTTTTCATACAAAATATAGCTGTCACAGAGTATCAGTGTCCACCACAACACTGTAATGTCGCTTTAAAAAGTTTGTGTTAAAGATTATTTAGGTGGTTTCTATGAAAATGAATAGCGCCATCAACACATGTCAAGGATGGAGGGAATTTACATTTTTATCAACAACATATTGATTAAATATTGGTTGATAAGGAAATACATTTATTCTACATCTTTTCCAAACATCCAGTACCTTTAAACATGTTTTTAAAAACCAAACAAAATGAAGGTAAATAAGAGTGTTTTGTCTACATGAAAGGCTAGTATCAACTCAAAGCTAATCGGTGAAGCTATTTTTCATTTTTTCACAATAAACTGTTGAAATGTCATTTCCACCACCACCACACATATTAAAAAAATATATATATTTAAAAAGTTCTCATCACACATTAAAAGTGTATTCACAATGTATAAGTTCATGCTCTATTTAATACACAACTTCAGTTTATTTATTTTCTAATAATCTCTTAACCAAATTAATATGATATTTTAGAGTGTGACAGGTGTACAATTCAGCATACAACTCATTTATTTAATTGACAAATGTTTATTTATTATATATATTGTGGAAAGATTGGTTAAACTATATACAAAAATGATTTTGAGAAAATGTTTGACTGCCATAATTTATTTCATTTTGAAATAAAAGCTGCACTGAAAAAAAATGGCCTGCAAAATTGTTGCAAACAATTTGTATGTGTTGAATTTAAAAAAAGTACATTTAGTGATGTTCAACTTAATTTGTTTGTTTAAATTCAGCCCAAATAAATTGTTTACAACCACTTAACTTAAAAAGATTTAGTAAATCCAAGGAATCATCTTTCAATCATTTTTTTTCAGTGTGTATATTATAACACAATCTCACGGCAATTCCTAACTTTTTCATTTAGTGGCTAATTCGTATAAATTCGTACGATCTAGTTCGTACAATAGGGTATGTGCTGAAGCTTGTTAATAGGACTTGCCAGTAACCTGGGTTAAGCGCTTCCGGCTAACTATATTCAATCCAAAAACCAGCACGTTTAAGGTCTGTTTTCTTTAAAAATCAGCGATCTCCACTGGCTGAGTGATATCCGATATAAAGTGGGTCTTGGGTTGTACAAAAAGCTTTGCATTAAATTACATTTTCATCCGCCATGTCTTTATAATATGAGCATTTATTTTACCCCAGTATATTCAATGGAGCTTCTGCGCTAGCCTGCCAATTCTGACGGGCGCGTGCGAGTAAACGGCTTTTTGTCTCGTTTTATGCTTGAGCAACTAAATGAATGCCAAAGTTTATTTAACTGAATGTATTTTATTGACATTACAACATCGATGCTGTAAAAGGAACTGTATAAAATGGAAAAAAGTTTAAAATAACAGGTCACTGGAAGTTTATCAGTATGGGAAGAACACTAGCTCAGCATATGACGGTTGGGGTTAGGGGTGGGGTTAGGTGCCACGCCTCTTTTTTAAAATCGTACCATTTCGTACGACTGAACTCGTACGAATTAGCTACTAACTGACAAAACGTAAAACGTTTTCTTGTGAGATCATCATGAGAAAACTGGTATATTGAGATGTGGTGGAATTGACATTTGTTCACTTCACAATGGAAAAAATGTTTCTCTTCTTATCTGAGTTTGTCCTCTTACAGATCTTAAAACTAGAAAATTGTTTAAACTTGTAAGGCTATGTTACGTTTATTTTGAACATATTTTTTTTTTAACTTTAAGGCTAAAAGTGCCGTAGTTGAAGTATGGCCCATATATGGATTTCTTTGGCTGTTATCAACATCTGGTGAAAAAATGTGTGTGTGTATAAATATTTCAAAAGCTGAAAAGACTATAGGAAAATTAATCACAATGGTTT